CCCCAAAACCCCAAAACCCCAAAACCCCAAAACCCCAAAACCCCATCCAAGCATTTGTTAATAGATTATTTGAAATAAAATGAATAGCAAGCCAGTAATTCCCAACGGCATGGAAGTTGGTGTTTACAAACCCTACTACTATGATTATTCTCTTAAACCACAGAAAAAGAAGCAAACTAACTCTAGAAGAGCTTATTCCAAAAAACCAGCAGCAAGAGGTAAGTTATCTATTAGAGCTATTTGTCTGTTCAAGCAGTTTAGGTGAACTTCTTGGAGTTCTGATTTTAGAGATCAGTAGTAATGTGCTATATTTAGTAGATTTTGAATCACAGAACATCTTAACAGATAGTATGAGTAAGATACTAAACTTAATAAGTTCTAACCTGAACTTTAGCTTATTGTAAGTCTCCAAAAGAATCTCCAAAAATGAAGCTAGGTATGAAACTACCTAAAAATACGTAAGTCTTTACATATTATTTTCTCTTTTACCGAATATGCTGAACTAATCACTTATATGTAGAACCCTTCCTTCAAATCAGTCAAGGAACTATCCTAACAGATCTAGTAACAAGCTGTAAGCTTACTTTTCTTCAAGTACTCTTCATTACTCCAAAATCAGTGTATCTTCGATTATTTCCTTCATCTAAGTTATTGCTGAATGTTTTCCGTTTGAAATTTTTAACTTTAAACTTCACTAATCGTCCCACTAAATTTTTTCTAAAAATGAGAAGTTTTGACATTTAATAGAGTAGCAGGGCCCTCAAAGTCAAGCCTTAGGAAAGTATCTACAGTAAGAAGCTCAGAAGGCTACAAGTAACATAACCTGTTTAATATTATAGCCTAACAGATTTGGAGAAGAGCCAATACGGCAACAGAATGGCCACAGGATATAAAAAGCTAAGTCTATTGGGAAAAGGAGGCTGTGCCATCGTCTGGCTAGCCAAGCACATTGAGACTGGCGCTAAAGTAGCAGTCAAGCAATTCCCTAAGAAAATGGATGTAAGTTCAGGGCGAGTTGAAGCTTTGATTCTCCAACGGATTTTTGAAAATGAGATTGACTCCACAGAATTTCCAGGAATCAATTACATTGCCAAATTATTGGATACCATTGAGGACAAAAATGATCTCTGGCTGATATATGAACTAGGAGGAGTCACGCTTACAAAGAACTTATTCGAAGTCAAAGGAGAGTTTTTCAAAGGCCAAAGAGTCTACCATTGCAATTATCAAAAATTCTATTATGCCTTAAAAACAAAAAGAAAGGTGATGGTTGACTTCATGACTAAAATGCTTCAAGTTTTTGAGCTTCTTTCAGCACTTGATATTGTTCATGCAGACTTAAAGCCAGACAATATATTGGTAGATTTTGATGGAGAACAGATAAAAGATATGAAATTGATAGATTTTGGATCAGCCTTCATCTTCTCAAACGCCAAATCGATAAGCATGAGCACACCAGAGTATCTTTCTCCAGAGGTTCTCAAATTCATCGATAAAAGGCATTCCTTAGGCATTGAAGGGGCCAAAGCAATGTTTAGGAAAATGAACTCATGGAGTTATGACGCTTGGTCAATCGGTGCAATCTTCCTAGAAATTGTTACAGGTTTTCCCCTTTGGTTAGGCCTAAAGGGTAAAATCACAACAAGAAAAGGGAAAAATATTGTCAATTTTGGCATTTTTGGTGTCAGAGGAAGAGACAATGCAAAAATAATCAACAAGCAAAACACTGTCCTCAAAGACTTACCTTCATGCATTAAGAAGTACGACTCATATAGTAACGAATGAGATGAAGTACTAATGGACTTCCTCTATGGATTGCTTGAAAAGTCTCCAAGAAAGAGGATGTCCCCTACAGAAGCTCTAGCTCATCCATTCATCACACAAGAGGAGGCATAAATTCGTTGATGAATATTACAATTTCATAGTCATAATAAGGGGTTTTGGGGTTTTGGGGTTTTGGGGTTTTGGGGTTTTGGGGTTTTGGGG